CTGTTCTTGTCTGTTAAACTTGTCCCTGTCACCCTACCCAGGGTGGGCCGAGGGGTTGTGCTGTCACCTGACCGTGACCAAGGCTTTGTCTGTTCAACTGGCTGCAGAAATAATGTTAAAAATCAGATTGTTTAAACCTTCCAGAGGATGGTGTTGTGTGTTCATTGTGCTGGTGGGGCAGTGGGCTGGAGGTGGGACCTCCCTCAGGAATCATTTCCTGAGGGGAACAGGATTTTTCCCCCCTTATTTCTATCTCTTGTAAGAACCTCTTGGTTACACTGAGCACTGTGAGGTGTCTGGAGTGAGTCACTTCTGTTCACAAACACACCTGAGGAGGATTCTCTTGGCTATGCAGATAATTCTGTGTCAGAAGAGGAATTTGCTTTGCTAAGTGATTAATGCCACGTTAAAAAAGAGGAATTCTTTTTTGCCACAGGGTTTAGTTCCCTGTTAAAGGAGGCAAAATCTGAGTTGTCTGAATGTGACTGAGACTTCTGGCTCATCCCAAATGAAAATGAATCCTTTAATCCTGCTGCTAAAGCTGTGCATGGGCACCAAAAACATGTGCAAGGAGCCTGATGTAGCAAGCCCAGAAATTGGTTTTTTTTACACATAAATCCCTGGTTTTCATCACTTATTTCCAGCCCCTTCGAGTTTCCAACCCTGGTGGGTTGATTTTGGGTCACTTCAGGCTGAAAATACAAACTTTACCAGCCCTTTAAAAAGCCAGACCATATCCTGAATTACTGGGAAATGCTGGGTTGCTTTTCCTCTTGGATCCCCATCCTTGCCTCGCTGGAGTGAGCCCTGATCCATCCTGATTTCTGGACAGAACCTTTCCTTGGGAAATCAGCCACCCCACCGTTAATGTGTCAAGAAAAGTGCCTTCCCAGGACCGGTTTAATGATGCAACTGAACGTAAAAATAATCCCATTTCGACTCCAGCCATGGTGACCCACATTCGTCTTGGACAAAGAAACCAGGCTGCTCCTGCCTGCCAGGAATTAAAGGATTTGGAGTCTGGAGCGAGGGGGGAGGATGCTGGACCCTCCCCAGAATCCGTGTATGTGCTCAGAGTGCAGGTGTGAGATCATTCCAGAGCCGGGCACGTTCCCCCTCCTGCTCATCCCGCTGGGAGGTGGGAGGTGTGATGTGCCTGTAGGTGAAGCTCAGCAGTGGGAAGCAGGAAATCCAGGTCCTGCTTCCAGTGCTTCCACAGATTTCAGCTTCAAACAGATCACTTCATCTCCTGCCTTAGCTTTTCTCCCTCCACGCCCTGGAGTTTGGAGCGCTCTGCCTGCCTGGAGGTTGATGCCAGTTGGTGCTGAGGGCTCTGGGAAGGTTAAACTCTGGATGGAGCTCGTCCCAAGCACCTGTGTCACATCTCACCTTGCCAGGTCACTGGGGAACCCTGGAATGCTTTGGCTTGGAAGGGACACTGAGGATCATCCAGTGCCACCCCCTGCCATGGGCAGGGACACCTTCCACCAGCCCAGATCAGCTCCAAGCCCCATCCAGCCCGGGCTTGGACACTTCCAGGGATCCAGGGGCAGCCACAGCTTCTCTGCCCAACCTGTGCCAGGGCCTGCCCACCCTCCCAGCCAGCAATTCCTTCCTAATCTCCAATCTAAACCTTTTGGTAATTTGACAACTGAGAGTCGGAGTAATGAGGTGTCTCTGCCCAGCTGAGTTACTTTTCAGCTGCTGGTAACGAGGTCTCCAGGTGTCCTGAGGGGTGGGGAATAGCAAGGACTCACCTGCCTTCAGCCAGCAATTCCTTCCCAATCTCCCATCTGTCCCTGCCCTCTGGCAGTGGGAAGCCATTCCCTGTGTCCTGTCCCTCCATGCCTTGTCCCCAGTCCCTCTCCAGCTCTCCTGGAGCCCCTTTAGGCCCTGCCAGGGGCTCTCAGGTGTCCCTGGATCCTTCTCCGGGTGAGCCCCCCCAGCTCTCCCAGCCTGGCTCCAGAGCAGAGGGATCCAGCCCTGGCTCCTGCAGCCGCAGCGATGCGGGACGGGGCTGCGGGAGCCGGGACGGGGCTGTGGGAATGTTCTCCCGGGGTTCTCGCTCCCAGCCCCGCCCCGGGGCCGCCCCCGCCCGCCGCCCCCTCCCCACCGGCTCCGCCCCG